TGGTGTTTCGGTGTGTTGCAAATCATACAGAAATCCTGTATAGAATTCAATGAACATATTGTACTTAATCGTATAGGTAATGGGAAGAATTATGTAACATTTTTAGTACATAGGGACTATATTGTATTTTTTTCTTAATTTTATAAATAGAAATCGATTTCTTTTCAATAAAATTCATATTGCTATACTGTGTGTTTATTTTAAAGGTGCGAACCACAAAGAAGCTCATAAATCTAATGCAATAAGACTAATACCCCTTATTATACAGTTTAATATCCCTTATTATATAGTTTAATACAGCCAACTGTAATGTACTGTGTCAGGGTTGCAAAATAAACCGGGTTATGCGATAACACTTTATTTCCAACCAGCACATTCACATTTTTGTAAAATAATAATGCGTTATATCAAAGCTTGAACATACTGACTTGAACATAACCCCGCTAGCTAAATGTCATTTTTCCATATTTATATGCAGGGTTGCCATATTGGCTTAATACACAACACTCCTCCCCCTTAGTTAAGTAACATAGTCTTTGAGGTAAGAAGGAGCTCGAATAGTACGAGCAGGTCTTCCAGAGGTAGTCGGTACATCGGGATGATCCAAGGTATCTCTGGAATCTGGGATGTCTATGCTTGCATCAGGTGGGTCATTATTTTCATCGCCACCAAAGGTATCATTTGAATCTTCGTGTGGGTATTCAGAACGATCAGGAAACGAAACTTCCACACGTTTTCTAATTTGGTCGGTATGTCTTCGGATTACTTTACCATCTGGTGTGGCAACTTTGTAGCTAAGCGGACCTGTAGGTTTGACAACAGTGGTAGGAATCCATTTTGGTCCGGGGACGAATGATCGTGAGAAAACTGGATCATATTCTTGAAAACTTCTTGGAATTTTATGACTACTTTGAGCTTCTTGTTTGGTAGTCATATCTCGTGAAAAATCTGGAAATACTTTATCGAGTAGAGTGTTCAATTTACGACCCATCAGGATCTCAGAAGGTGACTTTCCAGTCACACTGTGTGGTGTAATATGTTGAACTAGCAGATAGCGATTTAATTTCAATTGAACATCTTTACCGGACATCTTTTTGAGTGCGTTCTTTGTGTTTTGCACCATCCTCTCAGCTTGGCCATTACTACTCGGATGATACGGCGCAACGAGAGCTTGACGTATACCATTTTGCTTAAGAAAATCTTGATATTCGGTGGAAGTAAAGGCTGTACCGTTGTCGGAGACGCATACTTCAGGTATGCCATGCGTAGCGAATAACTCTCTCAAAACTCGGATGGCTGCGGCTGAAGAAGTTGTCGCAACTTGTCTCACCTCTAGCCACTTCGAATGAGAATCAATGACAATCAGGAAAAAGTTTCCGTCCATCGGGCCAGCGAAATCCAAATGTAATCGAGTCCATGGAGCTCGAGTCCATTCCCACGGATGTAGTGGTGCTTTGTCTGGCATCTTCTGTGACTGTTGACATGATGTACATGTATGTACAACATTTTCGATTTCCTTGTCAAGGTTCGGCCACCAAACGTAGGATCTGGCCAAGGATTTCATCTTTACGATACCAGGATGCGCGGAATGGAGGACCTCTAATATTGGCTTAAAATACTAACAACACGACCATCAGTTACTTCCGTGTAGTAAGACCATAATAATCAAACGACACTGCATACACCAAATTGTAGATTTGCACGGAGCAATCATCGGCCCTCTTGCTGCTCTCCTCGTAATCGACAGCCAACGAGAAGTAGATATCCAAACAAACTTGTTATCATTCTTATATGTAATGGAATTAATATGATAAATCAATTTGCAAATGAAAACATTGCAACCCAATTCTCAAAATAGGTGTAAGCCGTAAGCACTAGCTGAAATTGAAATAAATTTCAAGGTTATGTTTCCCATTGAAATCAACTTACTACTTATTAGTTTTAGCGCAGCTTCTTTTAAATGTTATGAACTTCTTAAGACTGGGCTAAGCGTTTTAGAAATTTGTAAAAATAATTAAATTAACGTAAATGCTTTGTTTATTCATTTAATCACAATTAATGTGGAATAAACACTGGTAAATATCGGTTGTGAATTGACATGCTTGTGCTACCAACCGCCAACTGTCTGTGCTACCAACATAACATCGAAATATTGGAAATTTGAATGCAAGTATGACGGCTTATTATAGGAGGTAGAAATATAAATTTTAAAATGAACGTTGTTCCCTCAAATTTTTTACTTCGACACAAAAAATCTTGTGTATTACACGTCCATAAAAATGTTTTGCGAGTATTCGTATTGCAGGCCTCAGCTCCGCTTCGACTCACACTCGCAAACATCCATTTTATGGACTTGTGATACAAATAACTATTTCAGCAATGGAGCAATTTACGACATTTACTGTAATGGTCAACACTCGACTGTAAAACTGCAAGTGTACAATGTAATCTACTTTGAAATATGACACTTTCTATACAATGTGTAAAAGATAATTCGCTTAATTCGAAGAAATATGACAAAACAAAATGCGGACAAATTAGGAAAGAGAGGTTTTAATTTTGATATCTGGAAATTGAAATTATAAAGGCTCTCCGGTGTGAGTTGTTTCTTCAACACGGAAGACAACTTGGATCTTATTCTTACCAGATCACATATGCTCTACAATCTAACCAGTAACCGGCAATGCAATGAAAGGTAGATCGGCAAAGATTGTACGTTTTTGCGCTTGTGCTATTGTTTTGCGTGTTCTCCGTCGGTCAGGAACCACTTTTACGGGAATGGTCCTAAACTTTTACATGCGACAGCCAATAGAGTTACGTCATAATAGCCCGCGAAATTCGAATTGCAGGACTTGTCTGCTTTATTTTCGGAAATATTGACCCCTATCGCCCTATCCATTAAGGATCATTTTTAAATAGGTCCTCTTTACGGGCTTATACTGCGCTTATGCACATTACATAAGCATATCGACCCTCTTGTATCGAAACACTGATTACCTAACTTTAAAACAGAGCAATAATCGTTAAATAAAATCCATTAATTTCGTTATAATTAAAAATTAATATGTGTACCATATTTACGGTTTACGGTTGGCAATATGGAATGATCATGACCTTGTTCTTGTGTTTACATTTTCTCAATGGCCGTTTACTTGCCTTTAAAGTTAAGTAATCAGTGTTTCGATATAAGAGGGTCGATATCCTTATTTAATGCGCATACGGTCAGTATAAGTCCGTAAAGAGGACCTATTTAAAAGTGATATTTAATATCAATATCTTCCACAGTAAAACAGCCAAGTCCAGCATTTCAAATTTCCCGCTCAAATTTGACGTCACACTAATAGAGTCTAATACCATTTTACATGCGCATGCCTTTAGTGGCATTTGGAAATGGAACAGGCGAGGGGGGGGGGGCAACCACACGTTTTACCCATTCATGGTATTCTAATTAAAGGTCTCAACTTAAGGGATTGCTTACTACGAACTATCGCCCTTCTTTCTGACACTGAATAAATTAGAAATTACTACAAACGAATTTTTGAATTTTTAAGAAATCTTTTTTGAACCTTTTTGAATCGATATTGAATTTTTTCAGTGTTATATTTAAGAAAATAGAATTTAATATGCTATTTTTAGATTGAAATATACAGGGTATGCCATTTAAATACAATTAGGTTAGATCCAATAACTTTTTTAATCGATAGTACTGTATAATTATTTATTTTGAAAACGGCAGATTATTTATCAATAATTTTCAGGAAACATTTTTTTGTTTCTGTTTTTACTAAGAATATAAACGGTCATTCTAAAATTGAAAATTATTTGATTTATCTCCGTATCTCTGTAGCAAAAATGTGCAAATTTGATTTTACCATTGCAAGTTTGACCCAAAAAGAGCCCATAACGCCTATAAAAGTGTCGAAAATGGGACACCCTGTACATGAAACACTAGGTAAAATTCCAAAAGTGGCTATGTATCGAATTTCATTTAAATGCTTCCATAAGTAAAAAAGTTTGCAATTCGGTTAATAATTAGTCGAGATGCGAAAAGGGCACTGTGAATTTTGAATCGATTCGACTCAACTTTTGGCATTGCGTATTATATTATTATATTATTGAATTTGAATTTGGAAGTTAGACGACAGTTTTAGGACCGTCTAGGCCATTGTTTAGCAGCAAACAGTGATTTAACTTTTTTTGTAATAATCTCTTTTTAACGCATTTTTTGCAAATTTATTTGTAAAACGGTGGCTTTTAATCTCACTTTGGCCGGCGGGCTAGCTGGTTGGCAGCAAATGAGACCCCGTAGAAGATCGCTTGTAGAAAGATGAGGAGTGTACTTGTACCTACCGGGCCGCATAATTAACAATTCTTTAGGGACGGGGCTACATGATGTGGGGTCGGTGACATCCGGGCGCCATCCCCGAGTGTGGTTTACTAACGTGGTGATTTTTCAGTTTTTCCTGCAGAAGAAGGTCCTTTTGAAAGGTCGGGCACAGAGCAGTGAAGAATAGTGAAAAATTCTTTGATTTATTTAAAGAGAATGTACGTAAATTTATTAGTTCAAGGTCAGACATTATAAATGAATTGGTAAAGCCGCAGCTTTGAGTGGTTCATAAACGCGCTAATTCAGCTACCCAATTTAGTGATGTCCTACATAGCAGGGGGCGCTGAATCAAAATTTTCCCACGCTTACATCGCCATCTACTTATGAGGTGTGTGAAAGGTGGCCACAAATTAATAAGCGTCTGGAACTCTTATTGTATTTACTCTATGGTATTCGTGTCATTCGATCAGAAATTAAAAATTATTTCATGTTTTTATTCTCGTTAAGGCATGACATGCCCATAAGGGCTATTGAAATCGAAAAAAACGTAAAAAAAACGAAAAATCGTACTTTAAACAAGAGTTGGCCAATTGCGATGAAATTTTGCAGGTGGATTCTTTATCAAATTTGTAGATTCGAGTTCGTGAATTGACAGTGCAGGGCAACAAATAAGGAAGGCCCTTTTGACATCTTCGTTAGTTGTGCACCGAATTGATTGAAATTCAAATTGGGCTTAGTATTAGATAATCCAGCGGTAGCAGACAATGCTTCCGCATTTTTCGAGGTCAAGCGGTCGTAGTGTAATAAGGTGTAATAAGCAGATTTACCTCGAGATTTACATTTAGGATATTTAATGGATTTACAATTCTTAGACGTACGACTGGACTTTCAGCAATTAATGCATAGTTTCTATTTCTCAATATGTTCGAACCTACAATTTACACTTAGGGCTTTATGAGGCTTCGCACAATGTGTGCAGATAGGGCAAGGTTATTAAATGTCTAACAGAAACCGAGCTTTATTATAACAAAGGAGGTCAGGTTAGCTGTAAAGGTGATTACCTAGGATTTGCTAATTTTTATTTTATTACGCAACCGTGCCCATAGATTTTCTCATTTTATGTCGAATCAACTCCAAATTTATGAAAAGGTGGTTGGTCTCTTGGTGTGCGAAGTCACTAAAACAACGTTTGGCATCAATATACTCTCGAACATGTTGTATTCCAGAGTTTGGATTAATGACCAGATCGATAGGGATTTCCTATGTTAAGGGAAGTCGGACGCAATTAGCTTTTATCTGTCAAGAATTAGTTTTCATACCCCGTTCGATTGAGTTAGACGCTGCAGCTATATATTGATAGAATTTTCAAATAATAATTTCAAATGTTATATCTACTAAACTTCTTTCCCAAATCAGGTCAAAATGCATCGCATCGTTTGTCCCGTTCCCACAATAATTAAATTCATATTAAATGAAGGTATCATTTAGTACCTATGCGTCGGCGTCGCCTGTGTAAAGTAGCTCTAGGATATTCTATTTGAAAAAAAAGATTGTAAGTTCCGATTTGTTTCAATGGTGTACACAAATAACACTTGCATTTGACACCCGCATTTTGCGATTGCTAGAACGACGTAAATGTCGGTCAGTCAGAAACATAAACTAAGGGAAAACAAAATCCCTAAAGCTACAATCTTCTTGTATAGAACGTAGATTTAGTTCAAGTCGTTTGTATCCGGCCAGAAATTTTATTTCTTTTAATTCGTCTAGATTTATGGCGACGTCCGTATTGAAATGCAGAATTCAATTACAAATTCATCTCGTAAACTACGGTCATTATACTATGGACCGTTTTTCACTGGAAACCAATAGAAGGATTGGCATTTTGAATTGCTCTTTGTATACGGGCACATTATTAGCTGCACGATTTACGTTTCCGTATGATTTGAATTTTGCAAATTTGCGTCGACTACGAACCCACTACGACTGTTTGATTAGCATTTGGATTATCTGTGCGGAAGCGAATCTATTCGAACGTATGGGCCCATTTTAAAAATTTCTCAATCCCTGTACTCCCTGTCGACTTTATTGTAAATATTTGCCACCTGGACTGGAATGCAATTTATATGAATGCCAGATAA